TATCAATAGATAAGATGTTTATTATAAAACATATCCATACGTAAATGTAATTTTTATCAATAGATAAGATGTTTATTATAAAACATATCCATACGTAAATGTAATTTTTATCAATAGATAAGATGTTTATTATAAAACATATCCATACGTAAGTGTAAATTTTATCAATAGATAAGATGTTTACTAGAATGAACTAAGATATTTGACTCTCCGAATTACAAGAAACAGTTTTCCTCTGTGGGTCGTAAATAAGATGTTTGCATTTTTAAATGAAAAAGTTATATATATATATATATATATATAAGTGTGTGTGTTGTGTATTTAGAGAGAGAGAGAGAGATGCAGACTAGTTGTTATAATGAGGCTCTATATCTATGTTTAATTGGATGGATAAGATTACCAGAGGATCGCTTTGCAAACTTTGGCAGCGTAAAAATCTCAAATATAATAATGGCTGGAGACGGCTTGAATGGGTAATGAAGAAAAACTGATGATGACAAAACTTTGTCGAAACATTGTACATTTCCTGTTATGTTAAACTTATATTAAAGTTTTTATTCATTACCCATTCCAGCCGTCTCCAACCATTATTAGTCTCAAAGTGGGTTCCTCGTCATCGAATCTCAAATATAAGTATTTCGTTTTGTTTTTCTGCAGTTATTTTCCATTTTCTTTGTGATACAATCTAAAGATTTAGAAATCCTGAGAGAATACAAAAAGTTTGTTTTTAAATACTTTGTGTTTTTAGAGTTTTGTCTTGTGATGGAAATCGAATTGCAAAAAATATTTTTAGAACATTAATTTTAAATTGTTCGTGAATAACTTGGGAGTGTCGAACAATTTCAATGCCATTTACACAATATTTTATCGGTTGTACATAGTAAAACTCTTGTTTATTTTATTTACAACATATCACCAGGTTTACCTAGCATCATTAAGTGGGATACAAGAACTGATGCCAGAAATAAAATTTACAAAAGTTTGACTACGTACAAGCGATAAAAACTTGTGTGAATTTTAATAACATAGTAGTTCTTTCTAAAATTTTATTTCAATACCAGTTTATAATGGTCTGACTTTTTGAATGTCTTGGTGTATTTCATGATGAGCTCTATTGAGGGTGTTTAATTAATGAGCAACTAGAGGGACACTTAGTGGAGCATATTACTATTTACATATTACTCCGCCACGCAGCGTTGATCATATTCGGCTCTCAAAATATACGAAAGTTATGAACGGACTCGGAACGTTTTTGGCAGAACAATGAGGAATAATATTCTACACGTGTGCACCAAGGCTCATCAAAATCCGATCATTTTTAACTGAGTTATAGAGCAAGCATTGGATTTTTTTATATTAATGATCTTGCTGTGACCTTAAACTTTGACCTTGACCTTACAAAAACTAAAAATTTCGAAATTGGGGGATAGTCAAAATGTGTACCAGCTTTCTACCAAATTCATTTAGCCGTTTTTGAGAAATCTTGCTGACAAATACAGAAACAAATACACGCACAGGCATGAAACATAACCTCCGTCCACCTTCGATGGCGGAGGTAACTAGAGAGTTATATAAAGATTGATTTCTATTTTTTGTATACGTAGAAAGCCCAGAGAAGTCACAACCAGCAACGGTCTATAATTCATTACTTCTAAGCTTAAAGACGTGTATCTTTGTACAGCATTTAAGGTAACTTCTTCTTCAGCACGTTAAGTCAGATTAATATGTTCTTTTAGTTCGTTTCATTTTGTCCTGGAGGACTTTAGTAAGTGCACAAGAGACAAATTGGTAGGTCTGCAAATCGCTTCAACATTACAAAATGTGTCAGTAATTCAGCCCCTTCTGTTTTACTCGGACATTTTTGTTCATTTTTCATAGGATTATATATACAAAATTATGTTAATTAAACTGTACTTTCACAAAATAATTTTTAGTGACTGAAGTAACGTATAAACAGTATACTTAGTTAACTGTACTCATTACCGGGTTAACTTTTAGTTTCGATCTATGTAGGTAAATACTTGATTTGTTCAATAACGGGTTGACCTTTAGTTACGATCTATGTAGGTAAATACTTGATTTGTTCAATAACGGGTTGAACTTTAGTTACGATCTATGTAGGTAAATACTTGATTTGTTCAATAACGGGTTGAACTTTAGTTACGATCTATATAGGTAAATACTTGATTTGTTCAATAACGGGTTGAACTTGAGTTACGATCTATGTAGGTAAATACTTGATTTGTTCAACAGCGGGTTGAACCTTAGTTACGATCTATGTAGGTAAATACTTGATTTGTTCAATAACGGGTTGAACTTTAGTTACGATCTATGTAGGTAAACACTTGATTTGGTCTTTGAGCAGAACTCATACTGAACTATGACTACTGAAAAACCAACACTAAGATTCTTCTCAGAGCACAGTATGATAATCACGATAAACAAAGGGAATTAGTGAGTAACCAATCGTTTGGTAGAACTGTAAATGAACCTTTTTGTGAACAACTGATACTTCCGTAAGAGCAGTGTGCTACACCAGAAAGTAGATAAAGTATTTTGAAAAGTAGCTAATTTGAGTTGTTAGATCAGCAGTTACATGAATGCTAACCGAAACTATTTATATATATATCATGCTACTCGTGACAATGCAATCGATAGTCGGTGTGTGTGTGCCGACTCTATAAAAAATAACCTTATTCAAATATGCGTTATTATATAAATGAAAAAAAATCTTATATAGTTTACTAACTTAAAAATGCGTATAAAATTGCTGTTTTGCATTACTATGAAACACGTCAATCTCGAAATCTCCAGAAAAAGTTGATACTTCTACCTTGACAGGAGTTAAAGCCACCCTTAAAACTGATCAATGTAGGTCTAACGTAAGTCTCCTAAACTGATACAACCGCATGGCAGTAATTGAATAAGGCCAGAAACAGTGTTACAACGAAGCTACCTAATTAATATAAGAAATTAGTACTGTAAATATTACCTCCTGTGACTTCTTTAAATTATAAGTCTTATAAACTATAATAATGATTCATCGTAATTTTAAATTTACTAACAGGTTTTTTTAAAATTAAGATTTTATAATTTTATAATTTATATTTATAATCTAAGAATCTGCTTTTACGGTTATTAGTTCACTTTCGAGGTACGACGTTTGGTATTTTTAACCTGAACGGCACCTTATACGACACACAGGCTAAACGACCAGGTCAGAGACTCCAAAGGTTTAGGTATAGCTGTACATAATTTAGAGCTGCTAACTAGGAGCAGGGCAATAAGTCAACATTATCCACCATACAGCCATATTTAGAGCTGCTAACTAGGAGCAGGGCAATAAGTCAACATTATCCACCATACAGCCATACTTAGAGCTGCTAACGCTTTTCACACATTGAAACTTAATAACTGAATACAAGCAAGCTCAATAATGAGAGACAATAGGTAGCCTAGCGATTAACATGCCTGGCTACATATCGAAAAGTCCAAAGTTCGAGCCTAAACATTATTTTCAATCGTGGGTGGGAAGTGACAGTCAGTTCTGCTATTTGATTTAGAGTAGCTTTGTAGGTGGTGGATAATGTTGACTTATTGCCCTGCTCCTAGTTAGCAGCTCTAAATATGGATGTATGGTGGATAATGTTGACTTATTGCCCTGCTCCTAAACATTTTCTTCGCAGTCTTACAATGAA